GGATTTGCCTAGAGTCACACAGCTCTCTCGGGGCACCTGCCTGGGTGAGTCGCACTGACTCTCTCCCCACCTCCACCACCAGGCTCTACCATTAACTTCTGGTGGGACAGAGGAAAGTCCTTGGTGCCATCTCTTGGTGCCTCAGTTTGCCTTTTTGTAATTTCAGGAAAACTGCTCCTGAGTTAGGATGTGCGAAACAGCAGACAGCGTCTGCTGACCAGAAATGGCATGTGGACTTCGCTCTGTTATTCCTTTACTAAATGCTACAAGAGGGATGAGTTAACTGATATTGGAATGAGAGCCACAGGTCAGCCATAAATACTTTTATTGAGTTTGGAAAGAGTCAAGCTGAGCAGGCCTCAGGCTGGCACCTAAGGGCTGTCCAAGGCCCTCCGGAAGGAGCCCAGCACCGCAGCACCCGCGCCCCATTCGCTGTGCCGCCGGTACTCTCCAGGCCGCAAGAAGTACTGCCGGCCCTGGTAGTTGGGCTGCTCATAGAGGACCCAGTATCCGTCCAGGACGTTACAAGACAGGACGTCCCTCTGGTGGAAGTGGTCATGGACGGAGGGACAGTCCTCGGTGAACTCCATCATCTGCCCCGCACAGTTCTCCCTCTCGTAGATCCGCATGCGGTAGGAGCCTTCATGCTACAAGGGAAGAAAGTGGGAGTTGGGGGGGGCCTTGAGCTGGGGGGCCACAATGGGGGCCTGGCATCAAGCCCCTTCCTTCCGTAAGGACCACCCAGAGCACATAAGAAGCACATAGGATGCCCACAGGCCTGGGCTGGGCAGCTGCTGACAGGACTCCCTTCTGGAGAGGGTGGCCAACCGCCTACCTCCCTAGACTCTGCCCCAAGAGGGCCAAGGGGCCCCCAAGGACTCACCCTGGGCACTAGACGGCAGGAACGGATGGAGTCGCTTGTGCCCATCCACTGGTGATAGTCTGAGTACTCGCCACGCCTCAGGAAGTACTGGCAGCCTTTATAGCTGGGCTGCTCATATAGGACCCAGGAGCCACTGTCCACACGCACTGAGTTGCAGCGGCTGAAGTAAGCCTGCAGGTCGGCACAGTCACCGCTACATTCATAGCAGCGGCCCTGGAAATGGCGGTCCTCATAAAAGGTGATCTGGGGAAAGAGAGCAGGGTCAGGGCCCATGCTGGGTGTTGCCTCCATCCCTCACCCTGGCCCTCCACCCCAGGCCCTGGAGCCGCGAGCCAGGACCAGAGCAATTGGAGGAGCTGCGGAACTCTCCCAGTCCAATGCTTTTTACACCAAGTGAAACTGAGGCCCTGAGAGATTAAGTGATAGCCGGGACATTCTTCCTGTCTTCTGAATGAGTTCCTGCAGCCTAAACGTGATCCATTGCCTGGTGTCTGAGGCTCGGGCTGGGCCATGGAAGGCCATGCGTAGGCTGTTTTCCTGACCATCCCACTAGACTAAGGCTACCCAATCAGCCCCTGGATGGCTGGGACAGAGCTCAACCTCTCCCTCCTCTCCCCCATCACAGCTTTCCAGGCCACAATGGTTACCTTGCCCTAGGCAGCCGGGTCCCCCCAGGCCTCCCCACTGCCATCCTCTTGGACCACACTAGTTCCCTTGCCCTAAGCAGCTGGGTCCCCTCCCCTTTCCCATCTGTCCAGGCCACATTGGTTACCTTGCCCATATTGCAGGAGTGCTCGGGGCAGAAGCAGGTGGCTCCAACTGCCTGGGCCACCCCTCTTTATAGCCCCACCCCACCCCCAACTCTCTAGGTCAGCACCCTAGATTTGCAATGGGGGATTTGCAACAGCCCCGAGTCAGCAGTCAATAGCCCACGCCCCTTGGGGGCTTTGCTGAGCCTGGCACTTCCTTTGTGTGGGGAGAGTTGGGACCCCCCATAGGAATGATTTTCTACACCGAGCATTTTACTGTGGGTAAGCCAAAGCCTTTTCATTGCTGGATGACTGAGCTGAAATGACCTGGAACAGGGACTTTCAGAAAGAATCCAGCCAAGCTACTCACTCCCCCAGGCCCCCACTTCCCCGACCCTGTGAGACTCTCTGGCCCCAGCCCACATGGCCTGAGAGCAGGGCCCCCTCAGAGACCTGTCTCCTGCCCAGGTGCCATTGGAAGGCCTCTGGTCCATGCATCAGAGGCAGACAAAGGGAGGGGACACCCACCAGCCTGCCCTTGGCCCTCATGATGACCCCATATGGCCCTATCACTTAACCCTGACCATATCTGGGGGCATTCTGCCAGCCCTGAATCCCCCACCCTGCTCCACCATTGTCCACTTTCCCTGCTCCCCATCCCCTGCCCCCAGGACATTCTTTCACCATCTTCTCATCAGTCTCTTACCCTCCTATCTCCCTCATCCTCAAAAAACTCACTTGAGCCTTCCCTCCCTCTAATTCTCCTCCTACATCTATCTCTACTGCCCTATGTAGCCAAACCCCAAAAGGCTTTTTAGTGCTATCTCTATTTGAGGCTGCTCCATAGGGGCTTTCATTTCTCTTTCACTCTCTTCTGCTGCATGAAAGGGAGGTTGGAAGCTAGATTGGGTTAGGATGGGCTGCTGAGCTCCAAGATGGGGCATGGCCTTGGGGCCAAGGACCCCCAAAGGGCACCCCGCTGGAGAAGATCAGAGCCAGGGGGAGAGGAGAAAGGGAGAGTGGGGAAGAGGCAGGGGGATGGGGGCAGCAGCCCACCCTAACCCAATCTAGCTTCCAACCTCATTGTTCCACTGAAAGTGAGCAGTGATCTCTTAGTGAACTTTCGTCAGTCTTTTTTCTCCCTGACGTCTCTGCAGCCTTGGACACTGGGGGGCACTCTCCTCCTGGACACTATCATCCTTGTAGGTCTTTGGGACACTCTCTCCTGGTTCTCCTCCTCCCTCTCTGACTGCTCTTTCTCTGCCTTCTTTGCTGGATCCTCCTCCAGGTCATGCCCCTAACCATGGGTGTCCCCCAGGGCTCTGTCCTGGGCTCTCTTCTCTTCTCTTCTCCCTCTATGCTACTTCCCTTGGGGATCTCATCAGCTCCCATGGATTTAATGACCATCTCTATTCAGATGATTCTCAAGACTACCTTGCCTGCCCCAAACTCTGCCAACTTCCAGTCTCACCTCTCCAACTGCCTTAAAGACATCTTGAACTGGATGTCCAATAGATGTCTTAAACTCAGCATGTCCAAAAGAGAACTCATCTTTCTCCCTAAACCCTCCCCCTTGCATCTCCCACCTTCTGTATAGTGATTACAGGGTGCAGTGTCCTCCTCGCAGACCCTCAGACTTACGACCTAGGAGTCATCCTGGACTCCTTTCTCATTCCCCATATCCAATATGGTGCCAAGGCCTGTGGATTTCACCTCTGCAGCATCTCTTGTCCATTTCACCTCTCAGCATCTTTTTCTGATTTCACCTACACAGCATTTCTTTAATTTGTCTCCTTCTCTCCTCTGACACTGACCCCACCTGGTGCAGACCCTCATCACCTCACCCCTGGACTATTACAATAACTTCTGGGGCAGGAGGGTTGCTTGCCTCATCTTCACTCCAATCCATCTTCCATTCAGTCACGAAAGTGATTTTTTTCTGGGGCAGCTAGATGGTGCAGTGGATAGAGCACTGGCCCTGGATTCAGAAAGACCTGAGTTCAAATCTGGCCTCAAGACACTTGACATTTACTAGCTATGTGACCTTGGGCAAGTCACTTCACCCCACTGCCTCACCAAAAAAAAGTGATTTTTCTAAAGCCAAGGTCTGATCGTGCCACCTCCTTACTCAATAGGCCCCAGGGGCTCCCTACAACTCCAGCATCAAATAGAAAATGCTGTTTGGCATTCAGAGCCCTTCATAACCCAGCCCCCCTCTTCCCTTTCCAGTCTTCTTATACCTTACTTGCTGACGCTCATCAATCCAGCGCCCCTGGTCTCCTGGCTGTGTCCATCTCTTAACTCTGGCATCCTCCAGACCCGGAATCCTCTCCCTCCTTCACTCTAACTGTTGACCTCCTGGCTTCCTTTAAGCCCAAACTGAAATCCCACCTTCTACAAGGCTTCCCCAATTTCCTGTTTATCCTGTATACAGCTTGCTTTGTACATATTTGTACATTACCCCCTCTATTAGTGTGAGCTCTGAGGGCAGAAGCCTTTTGCCTTTTTGTATCCCCTGGACTGAGCACAGCGCCTGGTACACAGTAGGTACTTCGTGTTTACAGATTGGAGAACTGAAAAACCTGACTTGGGCACAGTGTGTGGCATGCTCAAGGGCAGAATGGAGGGGGTGGTGCCAAGGGGCCGATTTGGGCTGGATCCAAGCAAACAAGAGGAAGTCCCTCAAGTGGAAGTGAGCTCCCCATTACCAGAAGTATTCAAACAATGGCCAGATAAGTGGAGGAGCTTTCTGTTCAGTCAGCACCAAGATCCTGGGCCCCCCACAGCTCCCTCCCCAGGTGCCCCCTTCTCCACTGAGCTCCTCTCCCACCTACAGAGGGGCAGGTTGTCATCTGCTCCACCCATCCCTTCTCTGTGCTCCCCGTCCTGCTTCTCCTTCCCCGCTCCCGCAGAAGACTAGCCACAACTACAGTGGGGAAGTGTAATCAAGGGACATGAAGTCAGAGCTGAGGCCTGGCGGGAGGTAGATTTGACAGGACAGATGGATTGATGGGAGGACGGCAACTGGACAACCCCAGGGTTTTAAGCCTAGGCTCCAGGGAGAAGGGATGGGTGATTCTGACTCCATAATTCACTCCACACCCCACTGGCAGCTGCCACCCAGTTGGCTGTCCAGGATCTGTGTGGTCTCAGGACCTGCCCAGATGCCTGCACGGCTGATGTCTGGCTGTTGCCTAAGGGCCCTTGGCCTCCAGAGGGGGCAGCGGCAGGCAGGGCTGCCTGTCCGGCCTAGTGGCACTGTCTCTGGGCCTCCCCTGACACCCCCACCTCTGGGCTCAGCTGGGATGGGCTCCCCAAGGTCCCCTCCTCTGGTCCCATTTGGCACAAGAGCCTCAGCCACACCATTGCTCGCTCATCAATAGGTTTTTAATCTAACACAGACATAGCATGATCACAGTAAGAATGTTTGCACAGCTCAAGGTCCTGGCTATAGGTGGCCAGCTCGCTGCTCAAGTGGCAGAGCCCCATGCCCACCCAACCCCAGCAGGTGCCAGTGTTTTCTGATGCCTGGGAGAGAGAAGGGTGGTCCTCCCTCACACTGGTGTGGACAGTAGGCCCAGGGAGGAGCAGTGTGGATAAAGGCCAGGCCTTTCCTTGGCTGAGTGACTAGGGGAACTTCACTTTGTCCTCCATCCTAGCGGGTCTAGGGATTCCACAATTCCACCGCACGCTGCAGTTTCCCTATCCGTCAAACGAGGTGCTCAGCCTTCGGGGTCTCTAAGGTCCCTTCCAGCTTCAACGAAAAGTCCCTCTGCCACTCTAAGCCTCAGTTTCCCCACCTACACAATGAGGAACTTGGCTAGAAGGTCCCGTCTGAGTCTATGCTACCCAAACTACACAGAGTGCCTGGTTTTGGTCTGGTACATTTTCTTCAAATACTACGATGTCAAGGACCGGAGACAGTGGATGGTGAAACCACCCTCCCTTTCATGCAGCAAGGAAGTGATGTCCCCAAGGGGTCAGTGTCTACACACTAAGCTGCCTCCAGACAGTGCACCCACAGTGGAGCTAGTGAGGAAGGCATTGGGGAAAGGGAGGCTGGGGCCGGCACCGCCACTCAGAAGCCCTTCTCGATGCTCAGGGTGCGCCGGGTGACGTGCTCCATCTTCCCAGAGACGTATTCAGTCAGGCTGATCTGGTAGTTGGCCAGCATCTTCAGCATGAGCCGCAGGTCCAACCACCATTGATCTTGGGGCATGCGGTGCCTGTGGCAAGCAGAGAAGAGAGGGAGCGGGCTCAGTGCCTGATGGTGGCCCCTTCTCTCCTCCACTCCCCTCTCTCCCTGCCCCCATCCCCCTGCCTCTTCCCCACTCTCCCCTTCTCCTCTCCCCCTGGCTCTGATCTTCTCCAGCCGGGTGCCCTTTGGGGGTCCTTGGCCCCAAGGCCATGCCCCATCTTGGAGCTCAGCAGCCCATCGGCCAAGCTTCCTCAGACCCTTTCCACTTCTCACCAGCCCTCCTTCTGTTCCCTGGCCCCACTTAAAGGCAGTAAGGGCAAGAAAAGAGCCCCACCCCCATTACTGTAAAAGGACATGTTTGTGTGACTGAGGAACGCAGCCTGGAGGGGACCTAGGCTGAGGAGGCCAGTGTGGTGATATGAGGGGCAGGGAAGGGTGGGCAGCACTTCAGTGCTGGGGACAGGGCCTAAAAGGGATCTTTCTTTCCCCTTACAGAGAGACCACACCACCTCCCCTAGGCCACCCTGGGGCAGCGGCGGCAGGAGCTGCCTGGGCTTTGGGGTCAAAAGGGTGTCTTAATAACCCTCTGAGCCAGTGATCAAGGCAGACTCACTCAAAATCTGTGACCTTCTTGAGTTCAGTGACTGGGCTGAAAGCCACCACCTTCTTTCTTAGGCCAATCACACAGGCCGAGTCTGCAGAGTTGGCAAAAACCCGCCCTGGAGGGAGAAGCACAGAATGAAAGGAGGGGGAAAGAGGAGAGAGGGGGACAGACCAGGGGAGAGAGTGGGGAGGGAGACAAAGAAGGGCGGAAGGAAGAGAGAGGAGTGCAGATGGGGGGAAAGAGTGGGGAGGGAAAGAAGGGGGGAAGGAAGAAAGAGGGGTACAAATGGGGGGAAAGAGTGGGGAGGGAGAGAAAGAAGGGGGGAAGGAAGAAAATGGACAGGGGAAGAAGGGAGGGAAAGGGCAAATGTGCCATGTCCTGGCTGACTGGGGGAAATGGCCTCCTGCTCCCTCAAGGAGTGGGAGGGAGGGGCTGTCCACATTTATAGCACCCCCCTCCTCTCCCAGGCTTTCAGGAGGCTGGGGTGGGGGTCCTGGCACGCACCCTTCCGATAGGCCTCTCGCAACTTGTCCGACATCCAGAGCATGGCCTTCACCCCAAGCTTGGTGCCGTAGTTTCGGTCAAAGGGGGTGGGGGCTCCTCCCTGTGGCCAAGGGATGGTTAAGGAAGTGAATGGGGGCAGACCCTCAGGCACCCACCCAGAGGCTGGACCCAGGAGCTACATCCAGCTGGGAAGGGGCTTGGGGCCATGGAATCAAAGGCCTGTTTTCTAATACCAGATGATCTCTGAGGCCCCTTCTCACTCTGGCCCGCTTCGATGCTGGCTGTGTGACCTTGGGTAAATCACTTAACCTCTGAACCTTGTTTGTGTACAAAATGGGACTATCTTGAATTCACTCATTCACTCAAAGTTCTAGCTAACCCCCCAGAATCCCAGTAGTGACAGTGGCCTGAGTTGGGGCCCCACTGTCCCTCCCTCTGCCTGTGGACTGCACCCTGGGAAGAAAGCCCTCCCTCCAACCTGGCTCCATCCTTCCCACTGAGGCCATAGGTCCACCTCGTAGTCTTTACGAAGAAAGAACCTGAGGCCCAGAGAGAAAAGAAGATGGCACCAGGACGTGGACCCCAGCAGGCTCCTGGGTCCACCAAGGATGGCCGCAGCGTGCACCTGCTGCAGGTGTCCCAGGACGTTGGTTCTGCAGTCAAAGATGCCCTTCCCCTCAGAGGAGTACAAGTTATACAGAAACTCTGTGGTGTAGTGCTCATGGGACTTCTCATTCCTGGGAAGAAATGGGAACAATTCACTGGCTGGCCTCCTCCTCAAGAACATCTGTGGGCTCACTGCTGCCTTCAGATGCACCCTCCTCCACCACCCGACTGCTTCCCCTTCCCTGCTCTGCTGGCCTGATATGCCATCCCCCACCCCCACGCCTTTGCCCTGGTGGTGGCTGCTATGCCACCTTCTGCCCGTGCCTGGCTCCCCCAGGGCGCATATCTGATAGCAGATTCCTGGAGGGAGAGGTGGGGACTCACCGGAGCACCAGACCCCGCTGGATATCCGTCTTCATCTTGTCCGTCAGATGTTCAACGTTGGCCTGAAGGAAACAGGAGGGAGCCGTGTCCCAGGAGGTGACCTTCCTGGCCGACGGCCCAAGCCCACCTGGGGCACATCAGCCCCAAAGACCACCCCCCCCTTCCTCAGGAGTTGCAGGCCTTTGCCTCTCTGGGTCTCAGTTTCCACATCTGTAAATAACTGTTGTTTCTCTTTCCATTTCTTCATCAGACAAGGGGATAGCAGCTCACAACCGGTGTGGGCCCTAGGACTTCAGGAGGTGCAGGGCTGTCCAGCCGGACCTCCCTTCTGGGCTACCCACTCTCCCCAGGCCACACAGCCTGCCCTGGGGACTCCCTCCCTGCCAATTCTGCCATGACAAGTTCAGGGAGCTGCTATCAGGGCCACAGCCCTGCCCTCCAAGTGCTTCCAGTCAAAGGGGCCATAAGACCAGCGCCCAGGAAACAAGAAGGACCAACCGAGGTAGCAAGGGAAGGTCAACAGGCCCTAAAGCTCTGCTCTGTGGACCTTCCTGGCCACTGGCTGGTCGGCTCGACCGTGGCCTCATCAACTCCAGGAGGAGTCAAGGCTCAGACAGAAGACCTGAGTTCAAATCCTCCATGACACTGGGCAGCCCTGCCCCCTCTCCAGGCTTCCTCCTCAGTAACCCACCATGCCCCAGGCCACAGAATGAGGAGTCCCTGAGGGCCCCGGTTCCCTCCTCCTGGGCTCCCCACCAATGACTGCCATCGCACCTTCAGGTCATGGATGGTGAAGGGGTCTTCAAACACGTAGGCAGCGTCGGCTCCCACCGCAATGCCTGTCACCGTGGCCAGGTACCCGCAGTAGCCCCCCATCGTCTCCACGATAAACACCCGCCGCTTGGTGCCGGAAGCTGACTGTTTGATGCGGTCACAGCTCTGTGGAGGTGAGAGGGGAGGGATGGGATGCTCCCTCCCTCCCTCTCAGGGGCAGCGAGGTTCCTGCACCTTGGCAGGCTGCCTGTCCCTCATTACTCACACAAACCCAGCCACCACTGTAGCCACAAGACTACTGAAAATGCACCTGAGGGCAGGAGGAAGCCAAGAGCCCCAAGTCAAGGGGCTAATATTGTGGCCCATCTCCTACCGACCCTATGGGAGTCACTTTCCCCCACCCCTGAGCCCTGTCTGCCCCATCTGTAAGAAAAGGGATTGGCCTGAGGCACTCTCTCACACCCCTCAGATTGACTAACATGACAGAAAAGGATAACGATGAATGCTGGAAGAAATGTGGGAAAGTAGGTACTCTGATACATTGTTGGTGAAGCTGAGTCTAGCCATTCTGGAGAATAACGTGTGGAACTCTGCCCACCCAAGGGGCTATCAAACTGTATCCCCTTTGACCCAGTGATACTGGTCCGAGGTCTGTACCCCAAAGAGATCAAGAAAAGAGGAAAAGGATTTACATGTATCAAAATATTGATAGCAGCTCTTTTTGTGGTAACAAAGAATTGGAATTAGAGGAGATGCCCACCAACTGGGGAGGTGAATTAATGCCCAGAATGGTTGTGGTGCAGCCCACTCCTGGAATGATCTGGAGCCTCACTGGGGACTTTTTTGCTTTTCTAGGATATCAGGGGAGCATCTGAGGGCCTGTCGGGGACCTCTGAAGGTGCCTTTCCCCTCTTCCTTGGCCTGGGCTTTCTTCTCCTCTCATTTTCCCAAACTGATTTTAATCACGTTGAGGTTGGCCTCCCCTTGAGGATATTAGAGTGTCTTTAGTAAAAGACCTGCTTATATGAACCTGAGCCTCTGAGGAACCCACTGAGCCAGGACTGCCTTGGCATCAGGAGTTTAAAAGACGTTACTATGAGGATCAGAAAACCAGGCCCCCACGTGGTCCTGCAAAGGCACCTCAGGCCAAGAGAGGGAAGGGCACGAGCCAGGCACTGCCAGGCCACGTAGGCAGGAAGATTGGAGGTCCAGAGACCAAGGGGCTCGGTGCTTGGGGCAAAGAGGGGAGAGAGGCAGGACCCCCAGTGGAGGCCCTGCCGCCCAGTTGCCCTCCTCCCAGCCCTGCCCTCACCTCCATGGCAGCATTGACGGCCGTGTCCGAGCCCAGGCTAAAGTCGGTACCGGGGACGTTGTTGCTGATGGTGGCGGGTATGACACACATGACGATGCAGAGTTCCTCATACTGTCCTCGGGCTTCCACCAGCTGCAGCACGCCCTCGTAGGCCTGGCAGAGAGGAGGGAGGCCACCCAGGCATGGACCAGTGACTCCCCCATCCTGGGATGTCTCCAGGCCTTCCTCTGCCTGCTCCTCTGTAAGGGGCGATCGGTGGAACCCAAGCTCCACCCAGGCCTAGGCCCAATAGGGCCTGCCCACATGAGGGCCCTGCCCACTCCAGAGATGGGGGCCCAGCTCTCTCCTCTCTGAGAGCAGTGACTGTTTGACTTCTCTGTGTGTATTCCCAGAGCTGAGCCCAGTGCTGGGCAGAGGGCCTGTCCTGTCCACATCTGGGCCAGCAAGGGCCAGGAGTAGCTACACAATAAACACACGGTCAAAAAAAACAACTGAGTCCGAAAGACTGGGGAAACCCCCTCAATGTGAAGGCCCAAGGGCGTGGCGTGGCATCAGCCTCCCCCCACCCAGGGGTGGAGGATGGGCACACATGCATGTATGTTATGAGGGTCTGGGTTTTCCAATAAGAGAATGTGGGAGCGGGAGAAGATAAATGTTTGGAAAAACCACAACCCTTCTAAAATAAATGTCGCCACCCTCCCCCCACCCATTATATCTGGCCTCCATATTGTCCTCCTCAGGCCTTTCAGGGCCTGGGGGGAGGAAGGGTGACCAACTAGGGGAAGTGGCGCACTGCCCTCGGGCCTAGCTCTGACCCCATGAAGGCCTCTGGTCCCCACGCCTCGGGGAGTGACCAGGATAGCTCTAAGCATTCGTTCTTCCACTGGGGCCTGAGGACTGCCTGGCCCAGCTCCTGGTCCTCTGGCCCTCCCCGTGTCTCCTGCTGATTCAGGGAGGATGCCCCTTTCCAGAGGCCTGCTGCTGGCTCAGCCCACTCCCTGGGGCCCCACAGGAGATCTCACCTCAAAGCCACCAATGACCAGCAGGGCTTGGATGTTGTAAGTCCGTACATTTTCCACAATTTTCTCCAGGCAGGTTTTGGGCAGAGTTCTGTAACCAGAGACCAGTCACTTGCAAGCTGCTGGATGGAGCCGAGGACTCCTGGTCCATCACTGCCTGGGCACCCTGGCTGCCCCCCAACCCTGACATCTCCCTATAAAGCATCCTCCCTGAGGCCAGGAAGATTACTGGCATCATCATCCCCATCCCCACCCCCACCCCTACCAGCTCTGATCATGGAGGCAAGCCAAGCTTAGACTCCCCTGGCCCAGGTGAGATTTCCCTCACCTTTCCCACAGAGCCAGTGGGTGGAATTTCCACTTAATGTGGAAGAAAACCCTCCTGACACTCAGAGAGTGGACCCAAAGGGGCTTGAGCTGCCTGGGAGGTGGTGAGCTCCCTGCCAGCACAGGTCTCCACATACAAACTAGATGATTATTTATTTGTCAAGCCTCTGAACCCATCCTGGGGGCTGGGATGCAGGGAGCCCAAGTACTGACCTCTTAGTACCAAGCATGGATCCTCCTCGCCCCAACCAGCCAGCGACATCATGCCAGCCCACCTCGCGCACCTACAGAGAGCGGGAGAAGGGTCACCAAACATGGGGAGACAGCTCTGAGGAGTGGAGGCTAGGCTGAGCCAGGAACACCTGGGGGCCCTGCCCTGGCCTCCCAGCCCACCTCCTCCATGCAGACGTACCTGCCCTTTGGCCAAGCCTTCAAAGCCATCATGAATGACATAGACCTTGTGCCCCTGGGATATGCCGGTTCGTACTGCGGACCTCACGGCAGCATTCATGCCGGCCGCTGGAGCCCCCACATTCAAAATGGCGACGGAGAAGTTACTCTGGGCAGAGGGGAGAAAGACCAGGAGCCTGAGGTCCAGGCACAGTGTACCCCAACCCCCACCTCTCTAGGCCAAGGCTGCTCCAAAGGGGAAAAGGCACATTGCCTGCTGCTGCATGAGGGAGGTCCCACTTGGTGAAATTACCAGGGGACCAGCACAGCCACTGGTGGACCACTGTGCTCTAGGGCATGCAGGGCTGACCAGGGCATTAGGATTTACTGATGTGTGCTGACTGTGTGACCCTGGCCAAGAACCTCTGGCAAATGATAAGATGCTAAGTTAGATGGGGTGCCATTAGCATTGGCGGAAGGACTTTGCACACCCAGAGTTCCCCAACACTACTGAAAGAAAAAATCTGGGCCCAACCCCGTTGTCCTCTGCCTCCTACATCCTTGACTTAATTTCCACCTAAACCGGAACATTCCCAAATGGCTTCTGATCAGTGCCCCAGGGGCAGAAAGAGGAGGAGGCTGTGCTGCAGCCCTGGGGAGGCAGACATTCACACTCCAGACCCAAGGTTCCCTGGAAGGGACCTCGGGGGCCACTGAGACCCACCCAGAGGAAGAATCCCCAAAGAGTCCCTGCTAGAGCCACCTCTGCTTGGAACTCTTGAGGGAAGAGCCCAGAGGCAGCCCCTTTGACAAGAGGCAACTCCCCCAGCCCTAAATGGGCCTCATCCTCCCTTCCCCCACAAGCCTGGGCCCTTCTCCACAAGGCAGCCCTTGGGACATGCGGCCAGCCGCCCTGTCCCCCAGGCCTCCTAGGGCCAGAACTACTCCAGGCTCTGAGCCACACTGCCTGCCCTCCTCTGGACGCTGCCTCTGAGGCACCCAGCATGGAGCTGCAGCCTCGGGAGGAGGGTCTGCAGGGCAGAGGATGCTGGACGGACTTGAGTGGCCACCCCACTGGCCGTCATGCCTCCCCCTCCCATGCTTGGGAAGCTGGGTTTGTGTAGCCACGTTCATTCTCCTAGATGGCAATCCCCTTGTTGTCAACCTCAGTCCGGCCACCATGCCTTTAGCCAGGCAGGTCACTGCCTCCTGGGACATCCCACCCACCCAGACCAAATCCATCTAAGCATATTCTCATCTAGTCCTCTCCACAAGAAGGGGGTGAGATGGGAAATCCTTCACTGAAACCCACTGGTTTAATAAGAAGGAATCAGAACTCCTCTCCCCGCCCCCGGCCCACCCCTGCCCCACTTGTCTCAGCAGTCTACAGTTTGGCTGCAGTAAAGGTACAGTCACAGAGCCTGGGTGACAGCTGGGGCAGGGCCCATCTCCAGTGCCGAGGAAGGTGCCTCAGAGGTGAATGGGGACAGCCACAGCGGGGCCCCTGAGGCCAAGGTAGGTGCCCACCTCGCATGGGGGACCTGCTGGCCCTCCCCCAGCCTCAGGTCACGCCCACCCCACAGACTCCCCCGGTGGGACCCTCTGGTACGGGGCCACGGCCAAGCCCCTTCTTTCCCTGTGTGCTACCTTGCTTCTTCGCCTTTAAAGCAAGGCTCCTTCCCAGCCTCCCCATGAGGGCCTCACCTTCTCCTGAGATTGCTTCTGGTGAGCCAGCAGCTTATAAATGTTCCAGTTGTTTTCAAAACTCCTGCAACGGAAAAAGCCAGACAAGAAGCTCAGGGTTAGATGCCCAGGTCTAGCCTCTGGTCACCAGCCAGACCCTTGGGTGTAAACAAATGCACTGGCTCCAGGGAGATGGTGCAGGGGCCAATCGAGGACCTGACCTGGAGTCTTAGCTCCTCTCCTGGTGAGAGAAAGAGACAGGGCTGGGGGGAGGGACAGGAAGTGAGAAATTTGGGGCGGGGGTGGAGAAAGAGATGGGGGCAGGGAGATAGAGGTGGGGGGGGAGAGGGGGAGAGAGGGACAGAGAGAGAGAGAGAGAGAGAGAGAGAGAGAAGAAAGAAAAAGCTGTGAATCCCTGGGCAAGTCACCAGCCTCAGTTTCCCCATCCACAAAGTGGGTTGGGGACACTTTTACCACCTTCTTCACTGCTTTGTGGAGGATGCCACCTTACTCAAGCTGGGACCAGCACTTACTATACCCATTTCATAGATGGGGAAGGAGACCTTGGGTAGTGAGGCACAGAGCAGGGGTGAGAGACAGGCTCCAATCCTCAGCCACAGGCCACTTGCAGCCAGAGCCTGCTCAGACTTTGAGCTGCTCTCTCTCTAGACTCCATCTGGGGTACTGAGTCCTGGGGTGGGGGAAGGGCCGAGGAGACCCAGAGACAAATGACCAATAAGTCAATCTGCCAGGGCCGATGCAAGGTCATCTTTGAATAGCGCATCTCCACCCCCACAGAAAACTGAACTTCAAAGCAGTTAACAAGACGCCCTCAGCTCAGGACAGCATTGTCCAGTGGTGAGGCCTTGGCCCCGGCCCTGGAGTCAGGGGCCTTCTGTGCTTACTACTGGTATGACCTGGAGCTAGTCACTTCCCCTCCCTTTGCCCCTGTGTAAAATGAGGGGGCCTAAACATGGCGGCCTCTTCAGGGTCTTTTGGCCAATGAGCAGATGAGGTTAGCCAATGGTCAAAGTGTGGCCCTGCCGAGGTTCCTTCAGCCCACATCACCTGGGCCCACGAGCTCATCCTGCCTCTCACCTCCCCCGCAGCTGGATGGCTTCATCAAACCTTTGCTCGTCCATGGCCTTCTGCACATCCTTTGTCTTTAAAGAGAGAGAGCACAGGAGGGGGGTGAGGCACCCACGGCCCACCCAAACATGCCCCTGGCCCCCTTTACCTGCATCTCTAGGGGGAGTGGGGGAGGGGAAGGAGGCCCAAGAATCACACACGAGCTCTTTCTTGAGGTAAGAAGCAGAATTAAAGTGAGGGAATCAAAGCGTCCCCCCCGCCCCCCGAGCCTGCGCTGGCACCTTAGCTCGTCAGCAAAAGCCCCCTTCCTGTCAGGCTGCCAGGCCATTCAGCAACCCTGCAGAGGACCCTGCCTCCATGCCCCTCCCCCCCATCTCCAGCGCCCTGGGCCACAGACACTCACCACCTGGACACACTCCATCAGTGGCAGCCGCACAGACTGGTTCCCGGAGAGGCTCACCACACAGGCTGGGGTGTCCGGCGTGGCTTCCAACAAGGCCATCACAGCCTCCATGCCCATCTTGCTGCTCTGGGGAGGACACAGTGGCTAGACCACGCTGATGCCCAAATGCCCTCCCACCCAGAGAGCGTGTAAAACTGTGCTACGCGTGGCCATGCTTGTGGGAATGCGCCAAATCAGACCCTGGACAGCAAACCTTCCCAATGCAGGCCTGGGACTCTCCCAAGCACCACTGCATCCAGACGCCTTCCCTGTTAGAGACCTATCTGGACCCTTGGCCAAGTGGGAAGACCACCATGTCTACCGGTAAGAGTGGGGAGAGGCTTGAACCCATCCGTCTGAGTAGTCCCCGGGCCTCTGTAGGCCAGGGCCAGGCATGCCTAAGGCCACTGAAGCTACTATGAAGGGCCCCGAACAGAGCCAGGGGGCTTGGTGGAGACGTAAGCCAGGGACAGTGCCTACTGCCGGGCCTCCAGCCCTTAGGCTCCCCCAGCAACGGGCCTGCCTGCCAGCTTCCTGGGTTCTGAGGTTCCTACTCACTCCACCTGCCCACACTGCCCGCTCTCTCTCCGGCTCCCTCCTGCAGCACTTTGTTAGTGAAGTGGTCCTCGGCCTCCACAGTCACCCACGGAACACCAGCCCCTCTGCTCCCCCTGCTTCATTTATTCTCAAAGGACCTTCAGCAGAAGCACTTGTGATGCTTCCACACTACTGTGCTCACAACCCCCAGGTAGATCTCCCAAGCACCCAGTGCACGTGCTGCTCCCGCTACTTCCCTATGTCCCAAACTGGAGCAGCTCCAAATGCTCACTCCTGCGCTTCCTGGGGAAGATGGGGAGGGAATCTCTCTCAAGGAGGGGCAACAGCCATCTGCCCCCTTACCGCTCAGCCCCCCCAGGAAGGCAGCCACGACCTGGCACGTGCTATGGAGGCAAAATGGAGGCCAGACAGCCATATACCCAACAGGCACAATGCCCGAAAAACAAGCTCTGCTGCCCATTCCTCTCCTTTCTAGGCCTCAAACGTCCGCAAGCAGACGCCGAGCTCCTGACGCGCCTGTGGGAAGAGGCCTGCTCCACGCCCTTGTGGCCTGAAATGGCCTGTTAAAAGCAAAAAATTGCTGTCTGCACCCTGAGGCCTGGCATGTGCCTCCCAAGGGACCAGAATGAGGGTGAGGACTAACTTTGCCAAGCCCAGGCATTGAGGAGGAGCCAGCTTTCCATGTCTCCAGTCAGGGTGTCCACACACACACCAGTGAGCAAACACTGTGGCACTGCATCGATGGTGCACACATAGGCACACATGTGGTCAGTGTGAGCAAGCATGCCTAACAGGACATGGTCTCTCATGCACTCTCTGTATGTGTGTGGCTCTCTCTCACACAGACACAGACAGACAGACAGACAGACAGACAGACACACACACACACACACACACACACACACACACAGTGGGCATGGCGAGTAGGAAAACTTACCAAGATACGGTCAAATGCAGAAGGCGTCCCTCCCCGCTGCACGTGGCCCAGAACAGTCACCCGAGTGTCAAACCCCAGGCGCTGAACCACCAGCTAGTGAGGAGAAGGGAAAACTCTACGTCAGGCCCCAAGGCTGTCACTCTGAGGTCCCACTTGGGTTTCAAGGGAGCCCCTGGAGGAAGCCAAGCACTAGCTGGCCGGCCCTGGTGCCCAGGTCTGTGCCGCCGGGCACCAGAAAGGTGGGGGTCGGGGGGGACAAAGAAGGGCAGGCAGTCATGGTGCTCAGTGGGGCTGGGGGTACCCTGGTCAGTGGGTAAATGCCACTGAACACTGGGGTCCCAAGACAGAGGCAGCCACCTCTCATTCCTGGTGCTTTCAGACTGCAGTTAAAGCCATCTGGGTTTGGAGGACACGTAGACCTTTATCACCCAGGCCTCCGAGGACCAGGATGGCCAGCCTCGGCCAGGTACTCACATCCTTCACGTATGTGGATGTGATGGGTTTCCCATGGCGGTCGATGGCACCTTCTGCAAGGATGATAATGTTCAGCCTGGATCCCCTGCTCCGAGTCTGGAAGGCAAGGAGGACTCCTACTCACTTGTGCCCACGCTCTTTTTGAAGGCCCTGGCCTGGGAGGAGAGCGGATGAACTCCCTTTCACAGATGAAGAAGCTGAGGCCTGGAGGGGAAGGGACTTTTTCAAGGTCACACAGACCCAGGCCTGCGACTTGTTGGCCATGTGAGCAAGTCTCTTCCCTGAGACTGTGAGCCTGAGTCTCCCCCTCCTTTGTGACATGAGGCGGCTGGACAGGATATGCCTTCTGAGGCTCCCAGCCTGGACATTAGAGGCACGGGACTGAGCGATCCAGTGGTTAGTCCTGAGCCTCCACCCTCCTGAACACTGTCTTGAGTCCAGGCCCAGCTGAGAGCCCTAGGCTGTCAATGGTCAAGCCCGGACCTGGCCTTTGCAGAGGCCAGTGAACTTGTGACATCCCCTCCAACAGAAGAGGCCACTGGAAGCTCTGGGTCTGTCAGGCAGGCTCACTACCTATCAGAGGCTGCTCTCTGGACACTAGACCCCCAGAGAAGGCAGTCAGGGAAACAGGGGTGAAAGAATGCCAGGGGCACAGACTGCACAGCACAAGGAGAGGGCAGGGATGGAGCCCAGAGAGGCAAGAAGGGAAGCCGGTGAGGGGCCCCTCCGGGCCCAGGATGGGGCACCAACCTGGCTTGCCCTTGGGGCTAGGTAGAGGGCACATGGGCTGTGGGCCCAAGAACTCGGGACTTGGTCTGATGCAGAACACCCCTCTCTGGGTCTCAGGCCAATAAGTCCCGTGATTTACTGAATTGGTCTAGGGGGCTGGCTAAGACTCAGGGGTTCATCATAAAACTCTGTGTGTGGTGGGATTTGAACCCAGGCCTACTTAACTCCAAGCCCACCACTCCATCCACTAGGTCACTGCCAGCTGAATGCCACTCAAGGGCAATGATGGGCTCAGGGCCTGCGAAGGTAGATGGGACGTGTGTCTGCCTCTGCCTCCATCCCAAAGCAGCTGGCCAATGAAGGGGGTGCCAGAGGGTGGCACTCACCTCGCCGAGTCTCTCACACATGAAGTTCTCCCAGCCGTCCTCGGGGGGGGCACTCGGGGATAAAGAGCCAGTCGGCACCTGACGCCAAAGCCGATACCAAGGCCAAATACCTGGGAAGCCAGGGTGGGACGTGAGGGCTGGCAAAGGGCTGCTCCCGGGGGATAGGAGACAACAGGGGGCGAGATCGCTGCCCCTCCAGGAGCTCTCACCTGACGCTGCCACCCATGCCAGCCCTGTGGCCCCAAAAGTCTCACAGACATCACTGCTGATAGAGTCTCTGGCCCTTGGGGCCCCTACCCCAAATCTCCAATTTTCCAAGGAGATCCAGAAAGGTTTTACAGCCTTCCCTCCTCACTCTCGGGCATACATGGGAAGCAGGCTGGCTGTGGAGGCAGAGGCTTGGGTCTGAATCCCAGCTCTGCTACTTGTGCCCTTGGGCAAGTCTCTAACTTTCTCCTGCCTCTGTTTCCTCTTCTGTAAAATAAAGGGGCTGGGCTGGACTGGACCCTCCACCTCTAGATCTGGGATCCCTAGAACCTCAGGTTTGACTCCTCCTATCAAGCTCAGAGTCAATTCTGAGAAAATCAATTTCCTGACCCCCTGCTCCCCCTGCCCCCAGTGGTCTGCTCTGCACTCAGTGTGCGTGCTTTCACATACACACACACATGCGCACACACCTATCTCGTGGACAGCGTCTTTCAAACGTGTCTAGCCTCCGCTGCATCGTACGATCCCCATGGGAAGGACCCTGGGCATACCTCAAACACCTCCCCCTCAGGCTGGTCAGTCCTCCCTCCTTCCCACCCACCGCGATGAGAGGCTCCCCCTTACCCACAGTGCCTGCCCATCACCTCCAGCACAAATGTCCTCTGGTGACTACAAAAAAAGGAGAACGGAGATGAGGCATGTTGCTATTTACCGCCCCCACCCAGCCCCACGTCTCAGCTGTGCCACCCCTCCCCACCAAGGGCTTGGACGCTGCCTCTTGGCTGAGGCTGGTGCCAGGTGGGCAAGGAGGGAGCTGCCATTCCTGCTGGGCTGATGAGGGACGCAGGTGTCCAGGGACACCCCCAGGGTCTCACGGCCAATCAAAGGGAGATCCAGGTGCTGAAAGTGGATCCTGGGGAGAGCCAACTGACGCCATTTTGGGCCAGATTTGCTTGACTCTGTTTCTTTGTTTTTTCTCCTGGCACTGCCCTTCCCCCAACCACTTTTCTGTGCATTACAAAAAACCTCACAGGCCTCTGAACAGCCCAGGAACTCACCTACTCCCCTTTCCCCGCATAAGAGCTTAATCAAGGCTGGTTAGATACTATTTTCTTTGGCGTGGTGTAAACAACTCTGCCCAAGGCCTCTGGAATGGCTTTTGGACCCTTTGTGACCCTTCCTCTACCTGCCATGTGGGGATCTGCCTCATCTAACCCAAGCTCTAGGCCACCTAGGTTGGGAAAAGAGCATTGGTATGTCGTCTGGGGCACGGCGACACCCACGTGTCTCTTCCCTACTGATGGGGTGTGCCCACCCCATGACCTGCCTGGCAAGAACACAGGGTGTGGCCCATGATGACAAAAGGGGTGGTGGCTGAAAAGCCTGCCCTGGAGGGCTGGTGCCAGCAGACCAGGGTGCCCAGAATGGAGAGGAAAACAAAGGGCTGGGACAGTCCCCGGGGCCAAGCAAGGTGCTGACCAAGGTGCTGATCCAGCCCTGATGGTGCCTCAGAGAAAAACACACAGAGGAAAGACGGTAGGACCCAGATTTGAATCCCGACTCAGTTGTCCTGTGTCATATGGCTGAACAAGTCACTTCATATTCCTGGGCCTGATTCATTTGAGGCTCCCAGGGCATCATGATGACTTTAAAGCCATGTCCCATGATGGCTCAGCACCCACAGTGGCCAGCCAAGCCACACGCGGGGGAAGGAGGTGGGCACAGGGCAGGCTGGAGCTCTTCGGGGGAGGGACAGCAGGGCAGCAGCTCCCTCACCTCTGGGCCGTGGTAGTGATGGCGTCGATCACCTCCATGATACGATGCAGGGCTGAGTCGGTGCCAATGGTCATGTCTGTCCCACAGAAGTCATTGTCGATGGAGCCCACCAGCCCGACAATGTTGAGGTGTGAATAAGTCTGGGCCACATCTTCAGTGATCTTGCCTGAGGCAAAGCGAGAAAGAAAAAAGACCCAGAGAGGCTTGAGACGTCAGATGGCGGGTCCCGGCCTTCTGCCAGATGGGACAAGGATCTGCCACTGACCGTCGTCTGGCCCTCCAGTGCTCGGTGTCCTCAACCCCGACAGCCTCCCATTGAATTAGCTCTGCTCAGTTTGCGGTCATGGCCCACCTCCCAGGCCCAGCCAATCATCTGTCCTCCCAGGGAAGACTGTGGAGGGTCAGTGTAGACAACGGTGAGTGAACACCCCAAGATAGGGCTAGGCTGGGCTGGCAGGAGCCTCTGGCACTAAGGAGCCTCTCCTCTTTGGACTGTAAGCTTCTCGAGGTCAGGGACTATAGTCATTCAATATCTGTGAGAGTGTGTACACAGATGACACCTGAGAAATGCTTGTTGACTGACTGAATCAGAAGGGCCTGGATTCACACACTGCTCTGCTGGCCAGGCAGACCTGGGGTCAGTCCTGCCTCTGACCCACATGGCCCATGTGACCTTGGATGCCAACAGGCATGGTTCACCAGGTCACCCAGCTAGTCACCAGCAAATCTGGGATTCAGATTCAGGTCCTCTGCCTTCAAGAGGCTGGGCTCCTTCCTTCCAGAGGCCACCTGCCTCCCCTCCCTTTGCCCACTCTCAGTCCCCAAGGACCCCCATTTCCCTCAGCTCCTCTCCAACCACCAACATCAGTCACTCTCCATTTCAGAGCCTCAGTTTCACCCGAAAAATGGGTCTCTGTGCTGGTCACAGGGGTGCTGGCTAAAGTTCTTAAGAGGTGAATGAATGGTGATTCTCCACAGCCTGAGAAAGGGGGTGATAGGGAGTCCAACCAGCCAACAGTGCCTGGGAAAAGCAGCCCCACTAGCGTCATCGGGAAGGGCCTGCCTAGTCACTGGGCTTGGAACCACGCAGGCCTGCCTTCTCCCATCAGTCCTGCCTGGGTCCCATGTTGGGTGGGTGACCCTGAACCATTCTCTACTCTCTCTCAGGGTCCCAGACAGCTGGTTAAGACTACAAGCAAGGGGGATCTCAGGGGAGGCAGACGAGACCTGCATTTTAAAAATACAAAACATTTACTGGGCACCAGTAAGTGAGGGGCCATGGAAGGGGCTGGGAGACAGGACATTGGGATGAACATTCCACAGGCCCCCAGAGAAGCTAGGCCTACCTAGGCCTCTGATACTCTCAGAAGTGCATGCAAGGGCCCACCCAGGCTTTTTGGAGGTGGGAGCCTTGGGCTAGACTTTAAGGACAGACTGAGGAGGGGTCAGGGCCAGCTCAGCCCACACTCAGGTTAGCAGACACCTACCTGTCCTCTCCCCCTGCCAACCCTGCCCCAGGGCCCAGCCCAGCCCAACCCCTCTGACCTTCCTTCACCAGCTGCTGCAGGAGGCCTCCCCACTCTGTCCGGAAGATGTTGGCCCCTGTCAGACTCCCATCCCCACCAATGACACACAGGTTGGTGATGCCATGCTGGACCAGGTTATAGGCGGCAGCCAGGCGGCCCTCCCTGGTGGTAAATGCTTTGCAGCGGGCACTGCCAATGATGGTACCTCCCTGAGGAGACAGGACAGACAAGTGAGGGGAAGCAAAGGCATCACCAACCAACAGAAGAACACAGCCTCAAACAAGTAAGTGTGGATTTCTGCCAGTTAGCCTGCCCACTCTGGAATTCACGCTGAGAACAGGTGACCTTCACACAGCAGACACAAGGACGGCTCCCCGCCAGCTGCGCTCCTGAGGCCCGAGCTGAGATTCACAGCCAGAGCCGAGCCCCCTTCAGTGCTCACAAGCACGATGCCAGGATCAAGGGTCCTGGCTGTCCAAGCCATCCACTGGCAGCCCCCACCTTTGGCCTGAGCCCCAACCGCCCCACCAAGACTTGTTTCTGGCATCTCCTGTCTACACTCAGCCACCAGCTTCTCCCTGCCCATGTGGACATCCTTGGCACAGGGCTCTGCCCTCTGGATGTGCCCCCTCACCCCCCCAAGGCCCAGTCATTCCCTGAAGTCAGCCCTTGGCACCTCCAAGGAGGAGGACATAGGGGGCTGTAAGCTTGGCCACATTCCATGGCCCGGCTCTGCCCTATACTCTGAAAGTCATCCACATGGCCAGTGGAGACTGGAGAAGGGAAACCCAGCAGGATTCTCCACTTGGAAGAGGAAAGGCCAGGAGGGAGCAGGGGCCAGTGGGAACTGACCAGCTCAGGCAGCTCCGCTGCACGGACGAACAGAGAGAGGGCTGCCCACACCATGCTCAGGGGCTCTGAGAACCGAGGGGCCAGGAGTGATGACTGTCCCCCAAAAAGCCAAACCAGGCTAACAGCCGGGGGTGGGGGGGGCACAGGACCACCAAGTGCATGCCACCTCTTCCAGGAGGTCTCCTTGGATTGGTGAGAGCCACACTTAGACACAGAAGGCTGAGGAGCGGGAGCAGCACTCAGGGCCTCCAGCTGGTACCTGAGCACAAAGAAGCTGCTGCTCCCCCTCAGTGTGGACACTCGAGGGAGAAAGAGTAAGCCCCACCGCCTCCCAGGTCTAGTGGGTCCCAGCTCCCTCTGGCCACTTAGCAGCTGGGCGACTATGAGCCTGCTATGTCATCTCGTCAGGCCTTCCTTTATTGGGGCGAGGTACTGTAGGCAGTCCTCCACAAAAAGAAGTCGGGGCCAGACTGGTGCCCTCTTGGAGTTCCCGCAGCCCCCAGATGGGGTTAGTGACCTCAGAGTCACAGCGGGGGAAGAGGGGGTAGTTACTAACTCTGGCCTAGGGTCACCAAGGCCAGAAGGCCAGCTCCTCCTCCCTGATCTGGGCAGCTCAGGGACCCTGGGAGCACAAGGAACTGTGGGGGCTGGGCCTGCGGTGGGCATCGCCACAGAGCCAGCCACAGGTTGTACCACAGTGATGCAATACCCCCAGCTGCCCAGTCCCTGGCTTCCCTGGGGCCCTGCATGAACCAACCCCACCCACAGACCTCTCTTACCATCTGGATGATGTTGGAGACGCTCAGCCACGTGGCCTGCCGGATGTTCTCACCTCCTTCTACCAGGCCCTCGTAGCCCTGCAATTAGGAGGGAAGAGAAGCAGGCAGAGGTGAGGGGAGGGAGCCAAAGGGAACCGAGCCAGCATGCCCAGGGAGGACCAGCTCAGCAAACCCACAAACAGCCTTTCGGAGGCACAGAATCCGCAGGAAGTTGGCCACACGTGCTCTGGGCCCAGGAAGTCATGAGCCTCATGCAGCAGCAGGGGCCCAGCCAGGCCCCAGCCCTCTCAGATGGCCAAGGACCACACCAAGGAGCCCAGAGCCCGGGTTCAGGGGCCAGGAATGAGTCAGGACCCTTGAGCCTAGCCGGGACCCAACCAATGTGCACCAGGGAGGTCGTCACCAGAGAAGCCAATCCTTCTTCCTTCCAGCACTCACACCCCTGACCTTTGTGCTCACCCAGTTCTACCTGGTTCAGGATGCTGCAGCCATGTGTACCTGTACACGTGTGCACCTGGGGAGGTATTCACCTTGAGATAACCTTTAACAATTTAACTTGGTCTCTGGGTGATGGGCGCCAAGGACCCTGCCCTCGAGGAGATTGCAGTCTGACTTACAAAGTGCCTCCACGTGGGGGCTTGGCCTAAGAGGAGCTGAGTCTGCCAGGCCCACACCCCCAGGTCCAATGGGAGAAGGGAGATGCATCTGGCCCAGGGGACCGTCCCCTCCCCTCCTCACGGGGCCCCAGGGCCAGCACCAACAAGCATGTTCCCGTCCTCTCAAAGGCCCCTTCTAGCTCTGACCAGACATCCTGGGAGTCTGGGGTGATGGGCTGGGTTCTTAGCAGGAGGTAAAACAGTGTGTCCTGAAGACAATGTTTCTTTTCAAGTGAACTGAACCAAATCCCGAGGGAATGATGGGGTCACCCGTCCTGGGAAGGAGGGGGATCTCCTGGTACGTCCCTCCCTCCCTGCACCACATCTTCCCAGCAGAGGTACCCAGGGCTAGAAGCTAGGAGGACGTGAGGGCTGGGGGGTGGTGGTGATGTCCAAGCTCAGCCCCAGCCCCCCAGGCAGCAGTCACGGTTTCCCACCTTCACACCCCTGCCTGGGTGTGTGTCAGACGGGGGAAAGTCTCCCCTATAAGGCACCAGCGAGGCTCCACCTACCTCATAGATGAGGAAGACTTTGGCTCCAACATAGATGCCCATGCGGGTCACGGCCCGGACCGCCGCATTCATGCCTACAGGGAAACACCTCAGTGAGCTGGGTTGGGGGTCACCCTAGCAGCGCCTCTGCCACTGTATCCCTCAGTGAGAGAGGCAAGCGCCCTAGGCCACTCGGGGGAAGGGTCAAGGTTAACTCCAAGCAGAAAAACCCTCAGAAAAGCCAAATAAAGGGTTGACGTCGGGGCTTGGAAAGTTGGCCGAACTCTCCTAATGACTGACCAGCCCCAGCCGGCAGCCAGCCAGACTCCACTTCCTCACCCCGGAGATGGGCAGCTTCCCAAGGAGAGCTGAGCCATCTCACTGACTGGCCAGAGGCATCTTGGGGTATCAGACAGTTCTTACATCTGCCCACTGTAACATTCCCTCTGGGACACCCCTCCTCCAAGAAGGTCCTTCGGGGAGCTCTCATCCCCTGCAGCCTCGGTCCACATGGGTCATGTAGCTGGCTTCCCTTCAGGCCCTGCCAGCCTCTGGATCTGCACCCAGTACAGATGTAAGGGTCACCCCCAACGGTGGTCCTGGGCAGGCATACCTAGCACCCATGGGAGGTCAAGGGGATAGCATTGGGCCTAGGACATAACCTCCCCCACACCCACCAAGGTAACCAGGGAGCCAGGACATCCAGGGAGAACTCACTATGTGAGCTGGGGTGAGCCCCTACCCCTCTCCTGTCCTCAGTTTCCCCATATCTGCAGAGCTGATCTTCCAGTTCTGACTTGACATCTTGTCAGCCCATGTTATCAGGCAACAGAAACAGCAGAATCCAGATAAGGAAGACAGGTGGGGGTGGGGAGAAGCCAAGGGGAACAGAAGGGACTTGGGTTTGGAAAGGAGCCCATCTATAAAATGGCCACGAAGATCCTAGCCTAACCCTGGGTCGGTGGGTGGGGTGTGTGTGGGGGTGTTGGGGTGGGGTGACATAGGGCTGGCCTGAGTTCAGAGGCTGTGACTGGTGCCTTTGTCCCGGTTTCCAGGCTTCTGACCAACAGTAATCAGTTGGACCAACAGTAATCTGGGGGTCAGACTGCTTTCTGCCCCAGGTGGGAAGGAGGAGGGTCATCTGGGAGGGGAAAGGGCGGATAGAGGGAAGGGGGAGGATTTGTCCTCCAGGTCAAGCTTATCTACTCTCAGAGACTGTGGGCCACAGGCCTCCCAGCCCTTGAGCAGGACTGAACTGACCACAACTGAAGGCAGCCAGGCCTGGGACATTCACTGTGTTCTAGCCCTGACTGCCAACGCCCCCTTCCTCAGTTTCCCTCTCTGCCTGGATGGGATGAGATTTAGGCTGACAAGGGACTTGGTGAGGGTAAGGAGCACTTCAGAGGACACAAGCTTGGGCATGACCTGAGGGGCCAGCTGGACCTTCCCCGGAAGCCCAAGTTCCCCCCCCCCCCCCCCCCCCATGTGGCAACATGCACATTTGCCTGACCCTGAGGATGGAGGAGGAAGAAGGGGGGGAGGAGGAGGATGGTCTGGACCACAGGCCCCTCTGGAAGACAATCATGGCCACAGAAAAGAGAAATCTTGGCTCCCCATCTACTTTTTGTTTTCATCAAGTGCCCACTTGGCAATGGCAGCTCCCTCTACAACCCCAGGGAGCTATGGGGGTCACACCAGGCAGGAAGAGTGGTGCCCATTTTATAGAGCAAACAACTGAGGCTCAGAGACCGAGCAGCTAATGGCACTACAAGGCACAGAGCACCGAGTCTGGAGTCAGGAAGACCCGAGTTCAAATCCAGCTTCAGATACCTAGCAGCAGTGGGACCCTGGGTAAGTCACTTAGCTGACATCTGCCTCAGTTTTTCAACAGCAAAATGGGGATAATAGCACCTGCCCTGCCCTGTGGTTGTGCGGATCCAATGAGACAGGATTTATGTGATGTGCCCGGCACATAGTAGGTGCTTTCTTCCTCCCAGAAACCTCCCCCCCATATGAGATCACTCTTCTCCTAATCACCTCCCTCCCGTTTCTAGGCTGCTTTTTCTCAAGCAGGCACAGGCATCCTCAGCCCTGTTTTACAGATGAGGACACTGAGGCTAGGTGACTGGCCAATGACTACCCAAGTCTTTAGTACCTAGAGTCCCCGGGCTCTCCTCTGCCCTCGCAGGTGGCAGAGCCATGAACATCTGGACTCCCTTCCTGCCTCTGACACTTAACTGTGGGTCCCTGGGCAACAAGCCAAGCCCTTTTACCTCGAAGTCTGTTCCCTTGCCTGTTAAATGAGGTAACAGACCTTATTCTACCCATGTCACAGAGCTGGTGTAACTCACAGGGGGCACCAAACTCCTTTCTAGCTCTTGTCTACCTCAGTTTCCCCATCTGTAAAGTGCTCAACATTAGAGTGAGGGATGTCTGAGCCAGTGACAGTGGGTAATTCTCATGCCAAGTTCCTTCCAGCCCTAGTCAGCCTCAGTTTCCCTGTCTGCAAAATAGTTTGGGGTGTGTTATACTACATAGTGGCTG